GAAGGAGGAAAAAAAAGAGAGTGAAACTGCCCCAACTGTCCCCGAGCCAAGACAGACATCTATTAAGATAAAGAAAGAAGAAGACGCGCGCGCGAGGAGATGTTCAGGGAGACGCGGAGAACGAGAAAGGCGCAGGCAAAACACAGAAAGAGAGAAAAGGAGAGGGGAAAAAAAAGAGGAGGGTACTCGGAGAGGGATTTCTCGCGGTGAGACGGAGAGCAGCGGAAGGTATACCGCGAAGTGCAGAGGAGGCTTCATCTCGCTCTCGGTCCTATTTATAGACGTGCTCTCAGCTTCACTCGTGCCCACTGTCGCTCGCGCACTGTCTTTCTTACATGTAGGTGCCTGTATACCTATATATACGTAGCGACTATATCGCCCGCGTTTTCTCTCTCTTGCTCTCTTTTTACGGGCGTGCTACCGCGGAGTCGAGACCAAAACCGCGCAAGATGTCCGGAGAGCGCGAGAGATCGATCGCGTCGGATTCAAACCGCGAAACAATTGTCTGCGTTACGGTAGCGGAAGTCGCGTATATTTCCGCTGGATGGATGCTTTTGTAACAACGGTAGAGATCGAGGTAACGCCTTCACTGGCGGATCTACGAGAGGGGATATATACACCCTTTTTCAAAATATTTATAGCGAAATGTTATGATATTCTTAAAATGCTAACAATTTAGATATTCCAAAAATATTTTCTAATTTAAGAAGCTCTTAAATATAAAAATATGGACTTTATTATATACTCTTTTTGTGTTAATATAATTTAAGATAAAACGTTTTATGAATTATATACATTTAAATGATTTATTTTTTCAATATAATAATTTAGATAATGACTTATCATTCTGTTTTTCATATTTGATCTTAAAATTTTGCTCGCAGCGCACCAATGACGTTCTCTTGACAAAGAACAATATTTAAAAAGGACATTATTTTACCTACTAATGAAAACTTAAAAAATATAGTGAATCTTATAGGTTTCGCGCGATTTATTGAACACGATGGTGTTATTGGATCTTACTGAGAATTTGGAGAACATCATTATTTTTCAAAAATCATTATTTTCACTAAAAAGTAGAACTTTATTCTGAAAAATGACGATATTCTTGACTGATTTTCAAGAAACCAATAACACTGTTCGTGTTCAACAGGTAAAAATCTATCGGATTTACTATGTTTTTAAATATCCATTAGTGAACAAAAAAACAGTCTTTTCTAAACATTATTCTTTTTAGATCCGCCAGTGAGAATGCTTTTCGCGTCCTCATCTTCACGGCTGGACCGTTTTGAACATTTTGAACGCTCGCGGCGGTCCTCGTTACGATTTAACTTTCGCGATTCCGTCACGACCGCGACTAAATTTGTCTGTTTAATTAAATCTCCATTAAATTTTTATTGGAAACAGACTCTGACATTTTCTTTGTTATTCGATGACGGACACGTGCAGACGCCGTGTGCTCAACGGCGAAATAATTTTACTTTCATGAAAACTTTATTAAATATTTTCTCGCTTGAAAATTTTAATATTAAATGTTATGAGCATCTCTGCTTCTTTCTTGGATTGAAATTATATAAAATATGCTTGAAATTAACCGAACAACAAAATCTTATCACATTTGACGCAATCTCTAAATTTTTTATTAAGGGAAACCATATAATCTTTAAATAGAATGTTCAGTTTTTTATTCTTTTCATGGAGAAAACTATTATATATATGTCACCTTTTAAAAAATTGAATATTACGTTTCCTATTTATGTATTATTTAGCAGTACGATATCTAGCTATCAAAATTTTTTTATAATTAAAATTTGTAAAATTTATTCGTTGATATTTTTATTAAGGAAAACTATAATATATTTTACCTTTTGATTAGAGGAGAGAATGTGCAGCTTTTTATTTTTTTGTAAATGGTTCAAGTTAAAGACACAAAGTTTTACAAATGATATTTTTATTTGACATCTTATAATTGGATCCAAACTTCATTCCAAGTCAATCAACTTGATGTTGCGAATTTGAGAGTTTTCACTGACGTTAGTTTGCCTTAATACTATCGGAATGCTTAAGATCGTGCGTGGACTAATGCCCCGTGAGCTTGTATACATTTCGTGTTTGTTACACAGAGCGTCGAGGAGAGGTTTAAGTGTTCAAAAACTCGACGGCATGTTCCTTGGTCAACATAAAGCCGACTATTTTCTTAGTAAAAATACCGATAATTACATGTATTAAGAAACAATAATTTTCTAGATTTTTCGGACATATTATTTTAATCATAATTTCAAGCGAACTTCGAGCGTGACAGAATTTTTATTTAAAACTTAAATAATTTATATATTAAAATTTTTTGGCCGAGAAAAAGTCGACTTCAGATTGCGCAAGGAAATTGCATCCATCTGTCATTTAATTCCTTCTCTAACATGTTTGTATACAACTTGTGAAAGGGTTACGAAAATAATCAAAACAACTTGGCCTCGAGTCAATGTTAATTGTATTTCTGTTAATAATTGTTGCAAGATTGTTCGCGTTACCCGCTTTGCAAAGAGAAGCATATGCAGGAGCAATGATGACAACACGAATATACAGGTAGCTGGGAGCCTTTGTTATGTGCATTGCACTCAGAGCGCAATATGTATAATAATTACATATAATTTATCTAGCGATAGGATAATACTATCTGTAAAAAAAGTATTTTCTTGGAGACGCGTTTGCGTTACATTGCGTTTACGATTTATGTAGTGTGTATCTTCGCGTTCGCATATGGAGTGTATGTGTGTGTGTGTGTGTATATGTGTGCGTGTACATATGCGACTTTACATTTATAATTCGTACAAGCTTGGGTATACCATGTCATTTCTGTCACTGTTGCAACGCATTGCACGCCAGAGTAGAGTCGTTACAATATATAATAAAAATAATTATTTAACTTTAACAATATATTCATTTGATATAGTCATCTTGTTAATAAATAGAGCAACATATACATAACATTAACAATTGCTAAATATATGTATACACGTACGGGATAATAATGCGAAATGAAGAAAAGAAAAGAAGGGGATGGGGGCAGGGAGAGGAGGGAGGAATGGCAAGAGAACGTTAGATTTTACATACATACAGAATTATGTATAATAAGTTATATACATATGTACATGAAATATTTCTTTCAACAACGATAATCACGTTTAATTACAATTATTTGTGGAATTTTTTTACAATAATGTGGGAAAGGAGGAAGGAAGGGGTTAAGAGGGTGAAAGAATGATTGAGAATTGGAAGTATTTGACGGAGACAGCCGAGATTTAGCGTGTTCGGAGCACGAAGGAAATATGCGAGAACGTAAATGTAAGAGCAACGAGATAGTTAGAAGAAAAAAAAAATGGGAGGAGGAAAGAAAAGCGATCGCTGCTACAAAATCAAAATTCGATGTCCCGTGAAAATTTATATGGGGAAATTCACGAAAATATATTGCACAATTTTACCGGCAGGGAAACGTAGCTTCGGGAAAAAATTCAACAATCGTCGAAACTAAGTTTCTCAACAACATTTTATCGCAACGCGAGGAGAGGAACTTTTTCTTCCATTTTAACATCTATACCTCTTCTAATGCAATTCCATAAAATCTTTTTCAAAAATAAATACTTTTGTTTTGACCATTTTCTTTTTGTGAGAGAGAGAGAGAAAGAGAGAGAGAGAGAGAGGGAGGGAGATTCAAGTGTGTGAATCAATAGTTATATATATATATACAAATATATACTTAATAAAAAAATATCTCTATTTCCATTGCCGCAAACCCTGTCAACAGCCCTGCTTTCCTTGAGAGACAGACCTACCTACAAATATACACAGCTCCATGGAAACATGAATTTCTTGGGAATTGCATTCGAACCGTATGAGTCTTTTAAATTGCACGGGGAGGTGGAGTGAGGGAGTAGGGAGGAGGGTTGAGGTAGGAGACGAAATATATGTTCTTAAATATTGAGTCCCGCTTCTCTCATATTGACCATGGAACGCGAGTCGATATACAATACTTCATCGTTTTACGTAGCATTACATTCTCTCACAGTCGTTTGCATGCAATGAGACGCATTGCTCCTCCTCACCCCACCCTTGTCCCTCCTCTCGTCTCTCCCTCCTTTTCAATCTCTCTCTTTCTCTCTCTCTCTCTCTCTCTCTCTCTCTCTCTCTCTCTCT